TAAATTTTATTTATTATAATTAATCATATGAAATTCTATATTTAAATGAAAAATATTTTATAAATTAATTATTATTTTTTATAATAATATCTGAATTAAATTTTTTATAATAAAACGATTAAGTTAACTATCTTAAAAGTATAGTTATATTATTTGTTTAACACTGTACTATATAAATAAATTAAAAAACTGTATTAATAAAAATAAAAATATATGTCATCTCTACAGTTAAATATAATTGAAATTTATCTCCTTAAGAATTCTTCAGAAAAAGTTATTTAAGTTTTCAATAAGTGTAATATGCATAATTTTTAAATAATACTTCTAATTAAATGTTATTAAAGCTTATCTCAGAAGCATTTATTTTACCTAATTCAGATAAATTAAAATGGAAAATTTTGCTCAGCAAAATATTACAATTATAAATACATATTTTAAATCTTGAGAATATAAATATTCTTTCAATTTATTGTTTGATAAAAAATTAAGTAAATGTAAACTTTTTTCAATTAATAGAATTCTGATAAAATATTAATAAAATCTCAAAATTAGAATTAAATAAACGTAAAGTTGGTTTTTTTAATCTAATTCTGATTATTAATATAATTTGTCTTCTTGATTAATTTAAATAAACAAGAAATAAAATTTTTTTAAATTAACTTTAATTTTTCAATTCTACTACCCAAGAATGTCCCCTCCTTAGCCAAAATAATAATAATATTACATTGAGTGTTGATTAAATACATTAGATTGTATGTGACCATTAAATAAATTAAGCAGGGTATGTATTTTAAAGAAATTAAGGAATAAATGACTATTATTTATTACATTTAGATGATAGGTGACGATTAAAGGTTGTTAACCATTTGCTTATTTAATAAAACCATCTGAAATAACTAATCTTTATCAAATTTGTACATAATTCGTATCATGAAATAAAAAATAACAAAGTTTTTATTTATTATTAGAGGTCATCAATATTAAATTAATACATCATTTAGTCTTCTAAATTTATCAGATCTTGAAAACTATTCAAAAAATTAAATTATTAATCTTTTTTGTATGATTGATTAAGTGAGTGAGTGAGTGAGTGATTGATCATTATTGAAATTTTCTTTACTTAATATGTACAAATTTTATTTATTATAGTTTGATTATCATTCAAACTTGCCTTACACTTTTTATTTATTTTTTTATGTTTAAATTTTATTTATTATAGTTAGTTAGTTATAAGAAATTATTTAACTAAATGAAAAGTATTTTTAAAATAATTATTTTTTTATAATATCTGAATTAACGAAATTATTAAGTTATTTAAATATCTTAAAATTGTATCTATTTTATTTACTTAACATTACACTTTTTTCATATATTTATATTTAAATAAATAAAAAATTATATTAGGAAAAATAAAAATGCATTTGATTTTTTCTTTTTAAATATTATTAAAACTTGTTCTCCTTAAGAATTCTTCACAAAAAATTATTGGATTTGCCAATAAGTGTAATATAAATAACTGATTTTTAAATAATATTTATAATTAAATATTATTAAAACTTATCTCTTGAATTATAATTTTACCTAATTCATATAAATGGCATTAGAAAATTTTCCACAGCAAAATATTACATTTATAAAAATATATTTAAAATTTTTAAGAATATAAATATTGTTCCCTTTTTTTGCATGATAAAAAATTAAGTAAATGCAAACTTTTTTTAATTAATTCAATTCTGATAAAATATTAATAAAATGTACATTCTCAAAATTAGAATTAAATTAGTATAAAGTTTGTTTTATTTAATTTGATTCTGATTAAATATAAATTATCTTACTTGATTAATTTAAATAAATTGGAAGCAATATTTTTCTCAAGTATATTCAATTTTTAAAAATATAATCTAAATCCCAAAAATACCCTAGTAGTCCTTAGATTTAAAATATAAATAGCTTTAGATGTTTAAATATTTTGGTTAATTTATAAAGTGTAAAAATATAAATTTAATAAAAATTCAATCATCATCATCTTTATTTTTTTTTTTTTTTGAAAAAATTATTTTCATTCAAGAATTAATTAAAAAAAATAAAAAACATGAAAAATGACTACTTTCAAATAAAAATTATTGTTAAATTTATCACTTGTTAATAATTAAACTTAGTTAAACAATAAAATTATATTAGATTTTCTTCAAAGTTTCTGGTTTTCAAAATTCACAAAACCCTTTTTAATAATTTAATAAAAAGTAAGTTAATTCATTTATTATGAATAAAAAATCGAAATTAAATCCCACCAATGTACTACAAATGAATTTTTAGCAAAATAAAAATGTGATTCATATATATGCAGATCAATCTAGTCCTTAACTATTTAATTAACACTAAACAAATCAAAAAGCAATTTTACTTTTTAGATAAATTAATTAATAAATAAATAAGAATGCGCGTTTTTAATAAAATAAAAAATCAAAACAGTTTGCTTCAAGAAATTTAAATTTTGATAAATTTGAGGAAGAAATTTTTTTAGATTTTATTGTTGCAACCAACATATTCTTTTTAACTAACTAAAGAAAACTCCTCTTTCCAACTTGTCAAGCAAATAAGGTTTTTATTTTATGCTAATTCTATTTTAGCTAAAATGTTGAAGATTGCGAATTGAATTTATACACTATGAATGTTAAATATTATCACTTAATATAACATAATATATTTTTTTTGTTATCCTAAAGCCAATTCTCACAAATATTTTTCTAAGTTGTTGGTTATTTGAGGTTGCTTTATTTTCTACTTTCAATTTAATACTAAATTTAGCATGAGATGGAAATTATTACTGGCAATGAACTTTTTAATTTATTTTCAAAAAAGGTTTTGATTTGATCTACTTCCTCTGATTTTAAATTTATAATTAGAACACCGTCATCAACTTTGTAACTTTAATTTATTCATCTGTTTATCATTTAGCTTAACTTGAAATATAAAGAATTGCAGTTATACATGAGAGTTAAAAATAGAACCTAACTGGCTTACTAATCTTTTTTTTCTGTTGTGGCTAATAAGATATGTGGAGAAGTTAATTATTTTCAAGATCAAAAGTGATGGCTGAATCAAAATTTGTACATTTAATGCAACATGGTGGCAATCTATTTTTCTACCCTATAAAGGTCAAAGGGCAGTTGGTTCAATTATGTGTCAAGCTGTATTAGAGACTATGTTTATAGTAATAATTATGCCATTCACAACAATTTCCTTTGGCTATTTTATAACTGCGTTAAGAGATATCTTATCAGAGATCAACTTAAAGGAACTAAAAAAAACAAATATTACAAATAATTAATTACATAGGCTAAGATAATAAATGCGTTAAAATAAATTATTAATTGTAAAATTATTAAAACAAACATTACAGTAATTATTAATAAAATTTGTTAAGTTTTCCACTAATTAATTTATTGCAATACCAATTGATTTATTAGTACAGAAATTTGATAAAACACACCTTTTCTTTTGTTTTCTTTATTACAATAATGAATTAATTTAAAATTTATTAGAGGGTAGAAATTTTATAGATTTTTTTATTCCTTTATTGTTTCTTAAAGGATTGATAAAATCTGTACTTTAAAAAAAAAATTTGTAGTTTTACATTACCCATAAATATTTACATTTATACATAAATAGAGTTTATATTTATATAAAATTGAAATTTCTTCCATTTTTGTATGATTTCTTCTTTAGTTATCTACTTTATAAAATAAATCTCCCCACATTAAGATAGATCGCTAATTTAATTTTATTACTATTTACAGGGTAATTATCATGTAATAAAAAGTAACAAAGTTTTTATTAATTATTAGAGGTCTTCAATATTAAATTAATAGGTAAATCACTTAGACTTCTAAATTAATCAGATCTTGAAAAATAAATAAAAAATTTAATTATTATTCTTTTTTGATTGATTGATCATTATTGAAAATTACCTCAAGCCATTTAATTTCTTTTTAAATTTTATTAATTATTGTTAGTCATAGGAAATTTTGTCTGTATTAAATATTCTTTAAATTATTATTTTTTATAATAATATTTTAACAATAATGAAATAATAAATGAATGACTAACTAACTAGCTAAGTTAGATATCTTAAAAGAATAATTATATTATTTGTTTAACATTATATTATTTCTAAATAAATAAAACTAAAAATTGTATTAATAAAAATAAAAATTAATGTTATGTCATCTTTCCAGTTTAAAAATTATTAAAATATATTTGCTTCCTTAAGAATTATTCAGAAAAATTTATTTAACTTGCCTATTAGTGTAATTATATATATTCAACTAATTTTTAAATAATATTTCTAATTAAATATAATTAATATTTATCTCCTCATAATTTATTTTTATTAAATTCAGATAAATTATTTTGGGAAAGCTTGCAATACAAAATATTACATATTAATGAAATATTTTAAATAAATAAATATTCTTTCGTTTATTTTGTTTGACAAAAAATAGTAAATGTAAATTGTTTTTAATTAAACAAACATACAGTTTTTTTAATTTGATTCTGATGAATTATTAATTTAATTTGTAATCTCATAATTAGTAAGAGTAACTTAAATAAATTACATATAACTTGGTCCTATTGTTATTAATCTTTCAAAATATAATCTACCGCCTATTCTAAAAAATTCTGCCCCTCCCTCCTTAACTAAAAGAAATATTATAAAATTAAATAGAAATAACTTTTTTCTCTCTAAAGTATGAAGGTGATAGGTGATTATATATATGAAGATTATCAATATATTACTATTTATAAAAATGTTTTGCTTAGCATTTTAATTAATTATGAAAAAAAAAATCCCCAAAAGAGTTTGCATATTTAATTAATGTACTCAAAAAGTTCTTTAAATCATAAAATAAGTGAAGTATAAATATAATTAATTATTAATAATTAATTAATTAATTAATTAAAAATAATAATCAACTATAAAAAAAAAATTTTCAACAATGAATAAATTATTAGGTATTTTAGCTATAATGTCAATTACAGCTTCATGTGTAAATGCAACAGCTGGTGATGATGTTAATTGTGGTACTGCAAATTCAGCTGGTGGTATGGCTTCTGATTGCAATGGATGTGGTGCTAATTCTACAATCTAAGGTTTATTCTCAGCTTCTGGAGCTTCAAATTGTAAAGTTACTGATTGTATGGCTGACCCAGGTTCTAATCTCAATGGTTGGATGTGTAAATCCTGTAATAACGTCTCTGGTGCTAATGGAGCTTATTATTAAGGCATGATATATTTCGAAGGTTTTTAATGCGTCGTTTAATGCGATCCAGGTTCAGCTCCTGACAGTAATAATATTTGCTAAGCAGTAGGAGGTGGACAAGTTAGTTGTGGTACTCCAAGCTTTCCTTTTTCTACAGACTGCATACCATGCGTTAAAGATGCTTCAAAATAAAATCTATTTTCACCTAATATTTCTCCTAATTGTTCTGTTAAAGATTGTACTGTTGATCCGGGTTCTGATCTCAATGGTTGGATGTGTAAATCCTGTAATAGTAACCTTAAAGCTCATTCAGTTTATTCTGCTGGTACATTTTTCAGTGGATCTGCTTGCGTTGCTAGTTGCCCTACAGGATATGTTGCTGATTCAAACAATAATTGCTAAGCAACTAATGGTGGAGATGTTGGTTGTGGTACTGCAGGTACAGCTGGTGGTAAGGCTACTGATTGCAAAGGATGCGGTGCTAATAGTACAATCTAAGGCTTATTCTCAGTTTCTGGAACTCCAAATTGTAAAGTTACTGATTGTACTGCTAATCCAGGTTCTAATCTCAATGGTTGGATGTGTAAATCATGCAATGGTGCCTTTAATGCTCATACAGCTTATTCCGCTGGTAAATTACTCAGTGGAACAGCTTGCGTTGCCAGTTGCCCTACAGGATATGCTGCTGATTCAAACAATACTTGCTAAGCAACTAACGGTGGAGATGTTGATTGTGGTACTGCAGGTACAGCTGGCGGTAAAGCTACTGACTGCAATGGATGCGGTTCTAATAGTACAATCTAAGGCTTATTCTCAGTTTCTGGAACTCCAAATTGTAAAGTTACTGATTGTACTGCTAATCCAGGTTCTAATCTCAATGGTTGGATGTGTAAATCATGCAATGGTGCCTTTAATGCTCATACAGCTTATTCTGCTGGTAAATTACTCAGTGGAACAGCTTGCGTTGCCAGTTGCCCTACTGGATATGCTGCTGACTCAAATAATATTTGCTAAGCAGACCCTATTTCTACTACTAGCTCATACTTGTTAACTTTGGCTTTTACTATACTTTTGTTATGTTTACTCATCTGAGAAATATATTAATATTATATATTAAAACTGTAATTTATTTCATAAATAAATTTATATGTTCCGATTAGGGCGTTGTAGTTTATTTGTGAAACTTTTAATCAGCATTTTTTTTTTTTGATTTTGTTAATAGATAAATTTGATAAATAATTTCTTAATATGAGCTAATTTAAATTTAGAATTAAAAAATTGTAAAATTATTAAGTATAAAAATTATTTTTAAAATAATATTAATCTTAAATAAAAAATTATCAATATTATATTTTAATAATTAATGTTTTTGTTTTTAGGGTAAAAAGTATTGTTTTAGATTTAGATACCCATCAAATATGTTTTTATTTATTAAATGAATTTTTAAAAGCTAATTTTAGTAAAATATGCAAAGGTTTATTTTACACACATTTTTAATTATGATAAAATTGATTATTTTTTTTTTGAAAGAGGAGTTTTTACATTGATTTTTGTTTTAGATAAATAGAGCATCAAAATCTTTAATTAGATTTTCTTCAAAGTTTCTGGTTTTCTTCATTCACAAAACCCCTTTTAATAATTTAATAAAAAGTAAGTAAATTCATTTATTATGAATAAAAAATCGAAATTAAATCCCCACAAACCTACTACAAATGAATTTTTAGCAAAATAAAAATGTGATTCATATGCCGATCAATCTAGTCCTTAACTACTTAATTAACACTAAACAAATCAAAAAGCAATTTTCCTTTTTAGATAAATTAATTAATAAATAAGAATGCACGCTTTTAATAAAATAAAAAAATTCAAAACAGTTTGCTTACAAGAAATTTTAATTTTGATAAATTTGTAAAAGAAATTTTTTAGATTTTATTGTTGCAACCAACATATTCTTTTTAACTAACTAAAGAAAACTCCTCTTTTCAACTTTTCAAGCAAATAAGGTTTTTATGTTATGCTAATTTTATTTTAGCTAAAATATTGAAGATTGCGAATTGAATTTATACATTATGAATGTTAAATATTATCACTTAATACAACATAATATATTTGTTTTTGTTATCCTAAAGCCATTTCTCACAAATATTTTTCTAAGTTGTTGGTTATTTGAGGTTGCTTTATTTTCTACTTTCAATTTAATACTAAATTTAGAATGAAATGGAAATTATTACTGGCAAGGAGCTTTTTAATTTATTTTCAAAAAAGGTTTTGATGTGATCTACATTGTCATCAACTTTGTAACTTTAATTTATTCATCTGTTTAGCATTTAGCTTAACTTGAAATATGAAGAATTGCAGCTATACATACATGAGAGTTAAAAATAGAACCTAACTGGCTTAGTAATCTTTTTTTTCTGTTGTGGCTAATCAGCAAAGAAGCGATGGCTTAATCAAAATTTGTACATTTAATGCAACATAACATGGTGGCAATCTATTTTTCTACCCTTTTAAGGTCAAAAGGCAGTTGGTTCAATTAAGTGTCCAGCTGTATTAGAGACTATGTTTATAGTAATAATTATGCCATTCACAACAATTTCCTTTGGCTATTTTATAACTGCGTTGAGAGATACCTTATCAGAGATCAACTTAAAGGAACTAAAAAAAACAAATATTACAAATTATTACATAGGCTAAGATAATAAATATGTTAAAATAAATTATTAATTGTAAAATTATTAAAACAAACATTACAGTAATTATTAATAAAATGTGTTAAGTTTTCCACTAATTAATTTATTACAATACCAATTGATTTATTAGTACAGAAATTTGATAAAACACACCTTTTCTTTTGTTTTCTTTATTACAATAATGAATTAATTTAAAATTTATTAGAGGGTAGAAATTTAAGAGATTTTTTTATTCCTAATATTTTATTGTTTCTTTTTGATAAAATCTGTACTTTAAAAGAAAATTTGTAGTTTTAAATTACCCATAAATATTTACATTTATACATAAATAGAGTTTATATTTATATAAAATTGTAATTTCTTCCATTTTTGTATGATTTCTTCTTTAGTTATCTACTTTATAAAATAAATCTCCCCACATTAAGATAGATCGCTAATTTAATTTTATTTCTATTTCCAGGGTAATTATCATGAAATAAAGAGTAACAAAGTTTTTATTAATTATTAGAGGTCTTCAATATTAAATTAATAGGTAAATCACTTAGACTTCTAAAATAATCAGATCTTGAAAAATAAATAAAAAATTTAATTATTATTCTTTTTTGATTGATTGATCATTATTGAAAATTGCCTCAAGCCATTTAATTTCTTTTTAAATTTTATTAATTATTGTTAGTCATAGGAAATTTTGTCTGTATTAAATATTCTTTAAATTATTATTTTTTATAATAATATTTTAAAAATAATGAAATAAATAAATGAATGACTAACTAACTAAGTTAGATATATTAAAAGAATAATTATATTTTTTGTTTAACATTATACTATTTCCAAATAAATAAAATAAAAAATTGTATTAATAAAAATAAAAATTAACGTTATGTCATCTTTCCAGTTTAAAAATTATTAAAATATATTTGCTTCCTTAAGAATTATTCAGAAAAATTTATTTAATTCGCCAATAAGTGTAATTTATATATATATTCAACTAATTTTTAAATAATATTTCTAATTAAATATTATTAATATTTATCTCCTCAAAATTTATTTTTATTAAATTCAGATAAATTATTTTGGGAAAGCTTGCAATACAAAATATTACATATTAATGATATATTTTAAATATTAAAGAATATAAATAAATATTCTTTCCTTTATTTTGTTTGACAAAAAATAGTAAATGTAAATTGTTTTTAAATAAAGTTTTTTAATTTGATTCTGATGAATTATTAATTTAATTTGTAATCTCATAATTAGTAAGAGTAACCTAAATAAATTGCAAACAATTTGGTTCTATTATTATTAATCTTTCAAAATATAATCTACGGGGGGAGGGGTACCAACCGGGACCCATAGTAGGAATCAAAAATCCTATACGGGACTAAAATTATTCAAATTTTTTGTTTGATTTCTACTTTAAAAAATAAATTCCCCACCTTAAGATTAATTACTTGCTTTTATATATATTTTCAAATCTCCTATCATAAAATAAAAATTACAAAACTTTTATTAATTATTCGAGTTCTACAAATTAAGTTAATACATCATTTAGTCTTCTGAATTTATCAGATATTGAAAACAATAAAAAAAATTTGATTATTATTTTCTTTTCATTGATTGATTGAGTGAATGATTATTATTGAAAATTGCCTTATGCTAATTAAATTATGTTTAAAATTCACTTATTATCTTTTGTCATAAGAAATTCTGTATTTAAATGAAAAATGTTTTAAAGATTATTATTTTTTATATTAATATTTGGATAAAATTTTAAATAATGAAATGATTAAGTAAATTATCTTAAAAGTTTTTTTAAAATATATGTTAAACATTAAACCTTTTTCATTTTAATAAATTAAAAAACTGTATTAATAAAAATAAATGTGTTTAAATATTATTAAAAGTTATTTCCTTAAGAAATTCTTCTGAAAATTTTTTTTTAATTTATCAATAAGTGTAATATATATATATATCACTGATTTTTTAAAATAATACTTCTAATTAAATATTGCTAAAATTTATGTATGAGGCATTTATTTTATCTAATTTAGATAAATGATATTGGAAATATTTGCTCAGTAAATATTACATTTATAAAAATATATTTTAAATTTTGAAGGATATAAAATATTCTTTCCTTTTATTGTTTTATAAAAATAAGTAAATGCAAGTTTTTTTAAATTAAAATTAAATAAACGTAAAGTTGATTTTTCTAAAATAATTCTGATTAAATATAACTCTATTAATTTAATTAAATAGTAAACATTATTTTTCTCAATCAAGGGTATTAAATTTTTGATAATATAATCTACTATCCAAGATTACCCTCCTTAACTAAAAGAAATAATAATATGTAAATTAATTTATAATAAATAGAATTTAAGGGGGGGATCGAATAGATGGGATTTTTTATTACTTCATAGATACAAGAAGAATATCAATTTATTATTTAGAAATATTTTTTACTTAAGGTTGAAATTATACTATTAACAAACATATAAATTAATTAATATAAAATTCCATACAAATCAAAGTTGCTTTTTTAATGATTATAGTCAAGAGGTTCTTTAAATCATAAACTAAATGAAAAATAAATATATTTAATTAATTTATAATTAAAAGTAATAATTAACAAAAAAAAAAAAAATTCAAAAATGAATAAATTACTAGCTATTTTGGCTATAATCTCAATTACAGCTTCATCTGTAAACGCAAATTCAATAGGTAGCGATACTCCATGTGGTACGCCTACTAGTCGAGGAATGAATAGTTAAGACTGCCAATATTGTGGTTCTACTTCTGATATCTCAAATTTATTTTAACCTAGTGGTAGTCCAAATTGTGTTGTTAAAGATTGTAGTCTTGCTCCAGGTACTAATCTCAATGGTTATATGTGTGCTTCTTGCAACGGTGTTTCAGGTGCTAATTAAGTTTATAGTGGAGGGTAATTATTCGAAGTAGATACTTGTGTTGCCTCTTGCGATCCAGGTTTTTAAGTTGATTCATCATACAATTGCTTTTCAGTTGGAGGTGTTGATGTTGGCTGTGGTACACCAAGTAGTATTAATTCTGCTAACTGTAATGCATGCGGACCATCTACTACTGTCAGAAATTTCTTTAAAGTCTCTGCAACTCCAAATTGTAAAGTTATTGATTGTACTGGAGATCCATCCACTAATTTGAATGGCTGGATTTGTAAATCCTGCAATGGTGCCATTCTTGCTCATCCAGCTTATTCTGCTGGTAAATTCTTCAGTGGAACATCTTGTGTTGCCAGTTGCCCTATAGGATATGCTGCTGATTCAAGTAATACATGCATAGCAATTAATGGTGCAGATGTTGGTTGTGGTACTGCAAATTCAGCTGGTGCTAAGGCTACTGACTGCAAAGGATGCGGTGCTAATTCTACAATCTAAAATTTATTTACACCTTCTGGAACTCCAAATTGTTAAGTTACTGATTGTACTGCTGATCCAGGTTCTAATCTCAATGGTTGGATGTGTAAATCCTGTAATGGTAACACTGTTGCTCATGCAGCTTATTCTGCTGGTAAATTCTTCATTGGAACAACTTGTGTTGCCAGTTGCCCTATGGGATATGTTGCTGATAAAAATAATGTTTGTTAAGCAATTAACGGTGCTAATGTTGGTTGTGGTACTGCAAATTCAGCTGGTGCTAAGGCTACTGACTGCAAAGGATGCGGTGCTAATTCTACAATCTAAAATTTATTTACACCTTCTGGAACTCCAAATTGTTAAGTTACTGATTGTACTGCTGATCCAGGTTCTAATCTCAATGGTTGGATGTGTAAATCCTGCAATGGTGCCACTCTTGCTCATGCAGCTTATTCTGCTGGTAAATTCTTCAGTGGAACATCTTGCGTTGCCAGTTGCCCTATAGGATATGCTGCTGATTAAAATAATGTTTGTTAAGCAACTAACGGTGCTGATGTTGGTTGTGGTACTGCAAATTCAGCTGGTGCTAAGGCTACTGACTGCAAAGGATGTGGTGCTAATTCTACAATCTAAAATTTATTTACACCTTCTGGAACTCCAAATTGTTAAGTTACTGATTGTACTGCTGATCCAGGTTCTAATCTCAATGGTTGGATGTGTAAATCCTGTAATGGTAACACTGTTGCTCATACAGCTTATTCTGCTGGTAAATTACTCAGTGGAACTACTTGTGCTGCCTCATGCCCTACAGGTTACAATGCTGATTCAAATAATATTTGCTAAGCTGACTTAACTTCTACTACTGGCTCATACCTGTTAACTTTGGCTTTTACTATGCTTTTGCTATGTTTACTCATCTGAGAAATATATTAATATTATTGATATAATATTTTAAAATTTCACTATTAAATTTATATATTCTGAATAGGGTGTTGTAGTATGTATATTTGAGAAATGTTTAATCAGTTTTTTTTTATGTTATTAAAAGATAAATTAGTTCTAAATATGAGCAAATTTAAATTTAGAGCTAAGGTGTTGTAAAATTAGTGACTTATTAAACTTTTTTTAAAAAAAATATATAATAAGTCCTGTTTTGGTATTGAGAACAATAAAATATTTTATTTTTTATTTAGAATCCCATAAAATTAAATAAATTTAGCAACTTTTTCATTAATTTTAATTGTGGGTGCAATTAAAAATGTAATTAATATTATAAATCAAAAAACTATTATAAAAAATAAATCAGGTAATTTAAAATTATAAATTTTATTTAAAAAAAAATATAAAAAAGCTTAAATTACTAAATTTAATGAATTTTATTTATTACATTAATCTACTTTATAGCTTATCCATGAATTAAATTCTTGCATCTCAGCGTTCGCAAGAATTTAATTCATCGAAGTGCTATATGTATATATTTGAGAATAATTTAATATAACGCTAAGTAATTCGGAAATATCTGGTTATATTTGCAAATCAATCAGTAGCATTCTCACAAATAATATTAATCCTAAAAAGAACTTAATTAAATAAAAAGACATCTACCTCAAATTAATTTGTTATTAATAAAAAGCTGATAGTAAATTTAGAAAGCAAAGCATCTTTTAAGTTAATAAGCAATCAAGCAAGTCATCTTATAAATATTTAGAAGTAAGCAATAATTGTTTATTTCGCACTTCATTTAAATTCATTAACAACAAACAGCAAAATAGGATTAATAAAATGCTAATATTTAAATACCACATTTTCGCAAGAATGAGGTACAGAAAAAATGAATGTAAATTATTGAGAAACTTAAATTCATTTTGCGTTTTCAAAATGAAAACTGCTGAGTAGCTTTTAAGGATTTTCATAAGGGTGGAATTTGCAAAGGAGGCTCTAAAATAAGAAATTACCTGAAGAAAGAATTGATAGCTTGAGAGCTCGCTTTAAATTGCAATCAAATAAAATATTTTAAATAAATAATTAAATAATAAAAGTGTAAAAAGTAAAAATTTGAAATTTCTTTATAAGCAAGCACATGCTACATGCATAATAAGGATATATAATAACTTAAAGGAAAACCTAAAAAGAAGAAAGAAATTAATAAATTGACTAATAGCTTTAAAGTAATAATAAATTAAGTATTACTTAAGCCAATTAATAATAGAAGAAACTCAACTTTCCTCATTAATTAGCATTAAGATATCATTTAAAATAATCTTAAAAGCAAACATTAAAATTCTACAAAGTATAACTTTTTGCTATGATTTTGACAAGCTAAAAGATTATACAAACCATTTCCCATAAGGTAATTATAATGAAATAATCTTGAGCTAAAAATATTAAATAAAAATATCAAGAAAGACAAAAGTAAGCATTTAATTTTATAATAAAATCTTATTATTTATTGTTAATTTACTAAAGAATATTTCAAGTTAAAATCATATTCTCTTAGGAATTATTAAATTTTCCATCTATCTATTTGCATTGGCATTAGCGTGTATCTTTATATATAAAGTAAATCTTCCCAATTAAAATTAATGCAATTTTAAATTAACACTTAAAACTGAAAAAGAATTATTTTATTTGGTGGACACAAGGTAAAATATAAAATAAAACTCCTTATTATTATCATTATCGAGAAAATAGAATGATGGCTGAAATTATACTTGAATTTTGTACAAAAACTACCCATTAAATTATTAAATTTCTCAAAATATCTCTCATCTCAAAAATAAAATTATTATGATTACACAATAATGTTTAGAGATATTTGTTGTCTATAGTACTTGTTACTAAATATAATCATCAAAAATTTATTTTTTTAATATGTTTAAAGCTATAATTAAATTTTGAGAAAGTTAATTATGTAAAGTAATATGAGCAAATTCCTTAAATAGTTAATTATTTTTAGATAATATTTTTTTCAAACTTAGAATTAATTAATAATGATGATGAATGAATGAAAGAAATAATTAAATAAATAAGTAAGTAAGGTAATAAAGTAATGCCAATAATATTTGCAACGAAATGAATTTAATCATAAATACCTTTAATTAATATATGCAGTATGTGTTTTGAATAAAATATTTGAATAACTACTAGCTTATCAAAACTTTAAAATAAATTCAAAATATGATTTCTGGTATTATTAGATGATATATAAGACTTCTTAATCATCTAAATATGCAGTAGCTATTCTTGAATAATTATTTCGCATGTGTGATATTAGGAAATAAATATATTTACTTAAACAATAAATATATTTTTATCAATAAAAAAAATAAAAAAAAGAATCAAAATAAATAGGTTTCGAACCTGAATCAACGAAAAAATTAAATAAAAAATGTTTGCTCAAAGATTTATTTTTTATTTTTTCAGGCTCTAAACCTATATCAAAACCTTTTTTTATTTGTTTTACATTTTTTTCATTTTATTAAATAATATTTATTATTCTACTAAATATATATTATTTATTTATTTATTTATTACTCATATAATAATTATTAGAGAATAACTAAATAAATAACTAACTAACTACACTATACTATACTATTTTTAGTATTTTATAGTCCATCAATCAATTAATAAATCAAAAAAGAAGGATATATAATTTTAATTATTATTTTATTTAGAATTTTGCAACATTGATGCTTGTAACTTAAAGATATCTATCTTATTACCAATTAATTGATTTACCATCTATTAAACCATAAATTAAATATTAAACACCTCCCTGTATCATTAATTTATTCATTCATTCATTAATTCATTCTTCAATTTTAATTAGTAAAACATCATTTTAAAATGAGAATTGTTTAAATTTACACAATTGATTTACTTACTTACTTACTTAATTTATTTCTAAAATGATTAAATAAAATAAATCGATTCTATTATGAAATATCTTAAAAAAATTAAAACTCTACAAAGTATAATGTTTATTTTGCTATGATTTTGGTTGACTAAACAAAAGATTATTTATATTAACCATTTTCCATAAGGCAATTAATTCCAACCAAATAATATTTAGATAAAAAAATAAAACAAAAAACATATCAAAAATGATAAAAGTTATCTTTTTATTTTACTTTATAATAAAATCTGATTATAATTAATTAATTATTTATTAATTTAGTAAAGAATTTTTCAAGTTAAAAATTTTTATGAGCTGATCTCATACTTTCTTAAGAAAAATTAAATTTTCCATCTAATTGGATTGAAATCTATCTTTTTATATATTCAGTAAATCTCATGTTAAACTAATACTTAAAAATGAAAAAGATTTATTTTATTTACAGAGCAGACAGAAGGTAAAATATGGAATAAAAATTTATTATAATAATTTTCTCTCTCTCTACAAGATGGAATAAATGAATACTGAATTTAACTTAAATTTTGTAGAAAACCTTCCATTAAATTATAAAATTTTTGAAAATATCTCTTATCTCAAAAATAAAATTATAATTATAATTAATTAGTACACGATAACGTCTACAAAAATTTGTTGCCTATCATATTTGTTACTAAATAAATACTAGGGTCAGACCAAATATCACTTTTTTAAAGAATACAGAATACCGAATAAATGATACCGAATAAAAATTTTATTCGGCATAACCGAATATTCTGTCTATCCCGACTAAATAACATCATAAATTTATTTGTTTAATATGTTTTTAAGCAAAAAGTTAAATTTTAAGAAAGCTAATTATGTAAAGCAATATCAGTAAATTCCTTAAATAATTAATTATTTTTATATATTTTTTTTAAAAACTATAATTAATTAGTTGATAATAATGATAAATATATGAATGTATATATTAAAGCAATAATTATATAAGTAATAAATTAAGGCCAATAATACTTGAAACAAAATGAATTTATTTATTTATAAAATGCCTTTAATTAAAATATGTAGTAATTTTAATAAAATATTTGTTTGTACTACATTATCAAAATTTTTAAATAATCCAAATATTATTTTTAATATGATTAGATGATAGGATAGATCTCTCAATTATCAAAATATGCTATACCTATTCTCGAATGATAGATAATTTCACACGCACACAAGCACTCATGAGATTTGAAAATATATATTTAGTAAAACAATAATTATTTTTTATCAATTAAAATAAAATTAAAAAAAAGTACGAAATTAGGTTTCGAACCTGAATCAACAAAATTAATAAATAAAAAATTTTTAATCAAAGATGTTATTTATTTTTATTTTTTTTTCAGGTTCGAAACCTGTTTCAAAACCTTTTTTTATTTCTTTTAAATCTTTTTATTTTATTAAGTAATATTTATAGTTCTTTTAAATATATATATTTATTATTATTTTCGAATAGCTAACTAAACTAATTTTGGAATTTTTTAGTCCATCCATCCATCCATCATTCCATCATTCCATTCATCCATGCATCAATAAAAAAATATGGAAAAATAATTATTATTATTATATTTTGAATTTTGCAAGATTTATGTTTACAACTGAAAAGGATATATATAGTATTACTTATTAACTTATTTCCATCTATTAAACTTTAAATTAAAAATTCAACACTTGCCTGTATTATTCATTCTTCGATTTTAATTAGTAAAACATATTTTAAATTTTTCAAATTGATTTACTTTATATTTATTAATATGTATGTATGCTCATTAAATAATAATAATCCATTCAAAATTAAATTATTACTATAATTAATAAGACTCAGCTTTTATTAAGTACTTATGTATTTATTTATTTTTTTTAATTAACTTGATAAATGAGTGCGTAAACCGAAGGTATTAATCAATCTTTAAATATATATAGGCGTTTTCATTAATTAAGTAAAACTAATTAATTAATTATCCCCAAATCCTTCCTGTATTTTTGCTACCCCACTTAGCTTACTTCAGAAAATTTAGCTAAATTTAAAATTTGGATGTAAAAAAATTATTATATATTAAATTATTAATTAATTACAATTCTATTATAAAATATATATAAAAATCAGATAAATTTTTTAATAAATAACTAATAAATCTATTTCATTATAAGTGATATTCAATAGACGAAATTTTTGTATGGCATCTTGCTATAATATGTGATTGAAAAATTATCTACTGATTTGTAAGAAAGCTTAAAGAAACAATAACATAAGGAAATCTTTCAGTAGATTTACTTTTGGTTCAATTAAAGGATTAGCTTAGTAATTCTTTAGGATCCAGCATCTATATTGAAGAAGTATTTTTACTTATCAAATCAGAAATTTAAACTTAATGAAGACTAATTCTTAATTTTTATTACTGAAAGAGAAAGTAAATTTAATTTAAAAAGTTATTTGTTTCTTAATTACTTAACATACGACTTTAAATTAATTAATTAATTAGTTAGTTAGTTAGTTAGTTATTTAGCGGAAATTTAAAATAACAATGAACAAGATAATGTAGATAATAATGAAAACAAAAAGAAGAAGCTATTTTTTTCGAAAAAATTATGGTTTGATTGAATTTATTAATTTATTTATTACAGGAACTTCTTCATATTACATTTTAAAAGCGAGTTATTTACATCAAATTATAAAAAATTATAGAACTGATTTCTTAAGGAATATTAAATAGAATAATTAATGATTTAGAGTATCAAAAGTTTTTGTTAATTAAGAGACAAAGTATTTATTTATTTATTACTTTATTCAATTTTTTAGGATTTAAAAATGCAGTGTAGTTTCTGACATTTTTACCTTCATTAAGATTAAAATTGCAACTCACTTAGCCTTAATAAAAAGTAAATTTATTATAAGCAAATATTAGATGAATAAGAGGCAAAAAAGGTTTCTAAAAACAGAAAAAGATTAATGATAGAGATTCTTTACATATTTAGAATGTATGTAATCAATTAGCATGTATCATATAAATTTTAGTTGAAGATTTTAAAAAATAGAAGAATAAAGATATATTTATTTTTTTATTTTTATATTTGAGATTAACTTAATAACCTTCATTAAGATTAAAATTGCAACTCACTTATTAGCCTTAAAAGAAAGTAAATTTATTATAAGCAAATATTAAATGAATAAGAGGCAAAAAAAGGGTTTCTAAAAACAGAAAAAGATTAAAGATAGAGATTCTTTACATATTTAGAATTTATGTAATCATCAGAAAGTATCATATAAATTTTAGTTGAATATTTTTAAAAATAGAAGAAAAAAGATATGCATATATTTATTTGATCATAACTTAATATAATGCTAAGTGAATTGGAAATATCTGGTTATAATTTTGGAAATCAATAACAAACATTCTCATAAATAATATTAATTGAAAAAAGAATTTTTTTATATACCTCAAATAATTTGCTATTAATAAAAAGCTGATAATAATAATAATAATAGAAAGCAAAGCATCTTTTTAGTTAATAAGCAAGCAAGCCATCTTTTAAAGATTTAGATGTAATAAATAATTGTTTATTTCGCACTTCATTTAAACTCATTAACAGCAAGCAAACAAACAAACAAATAGGATTAATAAAAATGATTATATTTAAATGCCAAATTTTTGTAAGAATAAGGCACAGAAAAAATGAATGTAGATTGTTGACAAACGATTGCATTAAATTCATTTGGCGTTTTCAATGAAAACTGCAAAGTAACTAACTTTTAAGGATTTTGGTTAGGGTGGAATCTGCAAAGAAGGCTCTGAAAATAATAAATTATCTGAAGAAGGAATTGATTGATAGCTTGAGTGCGCTGGCTTTAATTAAATCGTAGTAAAATAAAATATTTTTAAAATATAAATAATAAAAGTGTAAAAAATATGTGTTAGAAATTTCTTTATAGGCAAATAAATGTTACTTGGATAATAAGGATAATAACTTAAAGGAAAACCAAACAAAAACAAGAAAGAAATTAACAAATTGATTGAAATCTTTAAAGTAATAAATTAAGTGTTACTTAAGCCTATTAATAATAGAAGAAACTCAACTTTCCTCATTAATTAGCATTGAGATATCACTGAAAATAAAATTAAAAACAAACAAGTTTTTGCTAAGATTTTGATTGACAATCTAAAAGATTATACGAACCGTTTCCCATAAGGCAATTCTAATGAAATAATCTTAATATAAAAATTAAATAAAAAAATATCAAGAAAGATAAAAGTTAGTATTTAATTTTATAATATAATCTTATTTATTATTGTTAGTTCATTTATTTACTAAACAATATTTTAAGTTAAAATCATCTTAGCAAAAATTAAATTTTCCATCTATCTATATATCTATCTATTTTATTTCGATTGGCGTGTATCTATCTTTATATTTAAAGTAAATCTTGCCCAATTAAGCTACTGTTAAATTAACACTTAAAAATGAAAAAGATTTATTTTATTTGGTGGACAGGAGGTCAAATATGGAATAAAACTCCTTATTATTATCATTCTCTAGATAGAAGATTGATGGATCGTTGGCTGGCTGGCTGGCTGGCTGAAATTATACTTAAATTTTGTACCCATTAAATTATAAATAAAATTTCTCAAAATATCTCTCATCTCAAAAATAAAATTATTATGATTACACAATAACGTCTAGAAATATTTGTTGTCTGTATGTCTGTCTGTTTGTCTGTCTGTATATCATATTTGTTACTAAATAATATAATCATAAATTTATTTGTTAAATATATTTAAAGCTATAAATTAAATTTTGAGAAAGTTAATTATATAAAGTAATATGAGCAAATTCATTAAATAATTAATTATTTTTATATACCATCAATCCTCATTAATTCTCGCCAACCCCAAACTCATAGAGTACTAAATGGTGATCATCAATAAATATTCAGAAAATATGGTGAAAATTGATACTGGTGAGAATTAATTTATGAGGATTTACGGTATATTATTTTTTTTAATTTAGAATTAATTGATAATGATGATGAATGAGAGAAATAGTTATATAAGTAAGGAATAAAGTAATGCCAATAATATTTGCAACGAAATGAATTTAATCATAAATACCTTTAATTAATATTTGCAGTATTTTTAATAAATATTTGGATAACTACAAGCTTATCAAAACTTTAAAATAAATTTAAAATATGATTTCTGGTATGATTAGATGATATAATAGATCTCTTAATCATCTAAATATGCTGTAGCTATTCTCGAATAATTATTTCGCACATACGCGATTAGGAAATAAATAAATAAATAAATATATATTTACTTAAACAATAAAGATTTTTTTATCAATAAAAAAAAATTAAAAAAAGAATCAAACAAAATAAATAGGTTTCGAACCTGAATCAACAAAAAAAATAAATAAGTAAAAAATGTTTGTTTAATCAAAGATTTAATTTATTTTTTATTTTTTTCAGGTTCGAAACCTATCTCAAAACCTTTTTTTATTTCTTTTAAATTTTTAAAGGAATGAATTTAATCATAAATACCTTTAATTAATATATGCAGTATGTATTTTGAATAAAATATTTGAATAACTAACTACTAGCTTATCAAAACTTTAAAATAAATTCAAAATATGATTTCTGGTATTATTAGATGATATAATAGATCTCTTAATCATCTAGATAGATAGATAGATAGATATGCTGTAGCTAGCTATTCTCGAATAATTATTTCGCACATACGCGATTACGAAATATATATAAATATATATATTTAGTAAAACAATAAATATTTTTTTATCAATAAAAAAAAATTAAAAAAACAATCAAAATAGGTTTCGAACCTGAATCAACAAAAAAAATAAGAAAAAATGTTTGATCAAAGATTTTATTTTTTATTTTTTTCAGGTTCGAAACCTGTTTCAAAACCTTTTTTTATTTCTTTTACATTTTTTTTATTTTATTAAATAATATATTGATTGTTCTACTAAATATATATATATATATTTATTTATTTATTACTCACAAAACAATTCTTATAGAATAACTAACTAACTAAATAACTATGCTACTTTTGGTATTTTTTTAGTCCATCGATTAATCAATCAATCAATAAATCAAAAAAGAAGGAAATATCATTTTCATTATTATTTTACTTTGAATTTTGCAAGATTAATGCTTGCAACTTAAGGATATCTATCTTATTACCAATTAATTGATTTACCATCTATTAAACCATAAATTCAATATTAAACACCTCCCTGTATAATTCATTCATTCATTCATACATTAATTCTTCGATTTTAATTAGTAAAACATCATTTTCAAATGAAAATTGTTTAAATTTACAAAATTGATTCACTTACTTACTTACTTATTTACCTACTTTCTTTCTAAGATCATTAAATAATATAAATCCATTCTATTTTGAATTATTACTATAATCAATAATTGCTTGACTCTGCTTTTATTGAGTAATTATTAATATTGAAGCAACTTGATCAATGAGTGCGTAAATTTAAGGTATTAATCGTTAAATATATAGCTAACTAATTTTTTCCTCTAACTAATCAAAAAAGCTTAATTAATTAATTGGACTCCTTCCCTCCTGCTTGCTTAACGCAATATTAATTTACTTCCACGAACAACAAATAAATAATGTAAAAAAATATTTTCTTATATTTTAGATTATCGTTGTAATCAAATTTTTTTTATTGCAAAATATTTTAATTTCAATTATACACATTCAATGTAATTTTTAACTCTTTGAATCATTAAAATCAAAAAAATATCACTCTTATTCATAAACATTAAAAAAAGAAGATAAATTACTATTAGCATAAATTTTTGGTTGAATATCCCTCCCAAAACGTTGAAAGAATTATTTAAATATAAAGATTTTGTATTATTGATAGGGAATTAATTATAGGCAAATTTTAATCTATCTATCTATATAAGTAGTAATACTATCAAAATCATTTATAGGAAGAACAATAAAGCAACTTAATAGTTGGTTTTTGTTTGTTTGATTGTTTGTTTTTTTGTGTGTGATTGGCAAGTCATTTATTTATTTATCTATGTATCTATCAATCTATCTACTGATTTGTAAGAAAGCTTAAAGAGAGAATAAAAAAAAGAAATTATACTGTCAATTTGTTTGTTTTTTGTTAAATACAATTAATGATAAGCTTTGAAGCACTTTAAGATCTCTCTCTCTCTCTAAATTCAAGAACAGTTTTATTTACCAAATCAGAAGCTTAAAATTAATAATGACTAATCGCTAGTTTTTATCATCTAAGGAGAGACAGAGACAGAGAGAGAGTGTCTGCGTGTAAATTTAATTAACAAAGTTGTTTTTTGTTTCCGATTTAAGATGTAAATTAAAATGAATTTGTGAAAATTTACAACAACCAGGAACAAGAGAATGCTTATAAAGGCAACAAAAAGAATCTATCTATATATCTATGCATTGCAAAAAGCATTGCTTTGATAGATAGATATATAGATACAGATAATTATTAATGGTATATATTCAATTCATATTTTAAAAATCAATCGATTGATTCATCCATCCATACATCCATGCATAGATCCATCTATCGATCTATCTATCCAATCTATTGATAGAGCATATTCATATAAATTAAAGAAATACATAAATAAAACAAACTGAATTCATAAAAATTATCAACTAAAACGATTTATATTATCAAAAGATTAGCGAACTGAGATATAAAATATTATTTTATTCAAATTTTAAGGATTTTAATTTGAAATATCATTCATATTTGCAATTCTAACTTTGACTAAGATATAAACTGCTAATAGGCATATTAATAGCAAAATTTATTTTAAGTAAAAAATATATAAATAAATGAATAAGACAGACAGAAACTCAAAAAAGAGTGAGTTAATTTCTTTTGTTAGAAAGAAAATAAAAAATCATTAATAATTAGTAATCCTTTATATATTTATAGTTAGTCTTTTTAAATACTATAGCTATAACTAAAAAACAAACACGCATTCTAAAAAACTAATCAAATGTTCAAAATATTTATTTCACAATATACTTTTTGATTTAGTATATTGGCAAAGAGGTAATCAATGAGTTGCTACAATATATGAAATTTAAAATATATATGATTTATTTAAATATAATAAATAATAAAGCGATTAATAAATAAACCATGAAAGAGGATATATAATTTATTAATTAATCATTGTACTTCAAAATAATAAAGCATAATAAATTTAAAAACTCTATATTGAAAACATAAAACAATTTTTTAATTTTTGTAAAGAGATTATGTAGAGAAAATGATAATAAAATGTTTATTTAAGTTTAAAGTTTTAAGCATAATAAGAAAAATTAAATATTCTATTTAAAAATAAACTTCATTTAGTACCTTATGAAAAATTTGATTAGTATACTCCTTAATTTATTGCAAACTTGTTTGCTTTTTCAACTAAGGTTTATTTATAACTTCAAATGTTTTTTATATATAACATCAGATGTTTTTACAACTATATTGATATGTTAGCATATTAAAACAATTCTATTTATTTTTATATAAAATGCAAGAAAAAAAATATTTTTTCTATCATATGACTAACTATTTTATTTGAACTAAAATTAACTTTTAAGTTATTTTCTTTAAAAATTTCTTTTTACTTGTAAAGAGTGTTAACATTTAATATTTAGTTATCTTTACAACCCTATATTAAACAGAATTCATAAATTTGGTCGATTTAGATTTTGTAAAGCGACTAACTATTTTTAAGCAACATATTATTTCAGGCAAGATCAACACTAAATTGCTTAAAAGTGTTAAATATTTAAATGATTTTATGGTAAACAAAATTTTAAATATGTCTTGATAAGGAAATTTGTAAAACTAATAACTCAAAGCAAAGAGCAAGTAAAGTAATAAAAGGAGACAAATTTTATTTTAAAATGAATCTAACTTAATTTGTCAATATTTTAAATATTTATATTGCGTCATTAATAAATATTTACTATTAAACTATAATCCACAAATAGTAATAATATATTACAATATTTTATTGAAATATACACCTTACAATAAAAGTTAAAATAAGATAGGAGATGAATTAATATTAATAAGTTTATAGTATTTCCTATTTAAGTAATTCTGTGTTTTATTTTATAAATAATCAATTACTTGTAAGGATTAATGCTGTAAAATGCAAAATTAGCAAATATTGCGAAAAAAAATTATATTATTTACAAATAATATATTTTAAATACTGTATTTATTTTTATAAATGTACTTTATATTTAGATCACTGAAATAATATTAGAGGAAAGAATAGCAGACTCTTAAGGAAAAAAAAAATAGCTAGTAATGTGGGTTTAATTAAAGAACATGTATAGTAAGTAAGTAAGTAAAAAAATTTCTGTACAAAATAAAAATTTAACTTGTCATGTGTATGGCTTAATTGAATACAATAATATAATTTAAATTATATTCTAATTTTTGTTCGAAATTAACACAAAGAAAAATATATTTTTCTCTAAGTGTTTATTATTATATTATTTACACATTTATAAAAGTTATTTATTTAATTTCTTTGAAATATTAATCTAATTTGTCTTTAAGAGATTTAATCAGAATTATTTAATTAATTTTTATCTGAAAAATTAATCTAATTTGTCTCTAAAAAGTTTAATCAGATTTAATAAATTAATATATAAATCTGATTAAATACTAATAAAACTTGTCTTCAAAAATTTCGCTGTTAATTTAGAGCAAATAAAATATTAAAATAAAAATTAAGAAGTTGACTTTTATATTATATGAGAAGAAATTAACTATATTTTTTAAAATAGTAAAATTTAAATTTACTGATTTGATTTTTCTTCCTTCATTCAAGCTCTTTATTTTTTTCATTTTAAATAAAATATTAAAATTTTTAAAAATTCAAAATCGACATAGTAAAAAGATAAATATTAATTTCAAAAATACAATATAATAACAACTATGACAACATTTCTTATATCAAATTAATATTTTTAAGTATAGTTAAATAAAAAGGAGATGATTAGTCACTTAATTTTTCTTATGAAATATTAATAGAATTTGTCTTTAAAAGATTTAATCAGAATTATTTAATTAATTATTTATTTAATTATTTAATATAAAAATCCGATTAAATATTAACAAAATCTGTCTTCAAAAATATGCCTGTAATTTAGAGCAAATAAATTTTAAAATAGAAAATGACGAAATTGTCTTTTTTAATATATCAAAAGATATTAATTATTTTTGCAAAAATTATTGTAATTTTTTAAATTAATAATTGATTTAATTTGTCTTCATTCAAGCTTTTAATTTTCTTTGTTTTAAATAAAATATTTGTTAGTTTTCAAAATAAACTTAAATAATATCAAGAATAAAAAGTTAAATTTATATTTAAAGCATATGTTAAATAATATTTTATATTAACAAAAATGGTTACATTTATTTTATATATATAATTTTTTAATTACAATTTAATAAAAAGCAGATAATTAATTAGTAATTTAATTTTTCTTATGAAATATTCATCTAATTTGTCTTCAAAGAATTTTTGAAATTAATATTAATCAATTTTTAAATAAAAATAAAAATAAAAGCTTTCTGATTAAATATTAAATATTTTGTCTCCAAACATACAAAAAATTTTTAATATTTTTAAAAACTAAAACTTAAATAACAATGTTAAAAAAAATTTAAAATATTTTTTATAATCTTCTCTTTTTTATTAAATTTTATATCAAAAATGTTTCATCATATTATAATTTAGTCTAACTCTTATTTAACAAAAGTGTTTAGATTTAGATACTTGCTTGCTTATAATAAAAAAATTAAATCTTTCTGATTAAATATAAATTAATTTTTCTTCCTCAATTTTTTAAAAAAATGTTAATAAAATATGGATGTATATAATTAAGTTTTAAATAATTCTGATAAAATACTAAAAAATTTGTCTTCTATCAATTATCAGATCTAAATTGTTATTATAATACTAAAATTGATTGCTTTGGATTACTTGTTTGCTAAAACTAAACTTGATAATTCAATTCTATTGTCTGATATTTTAAAATTTATTTTATATTTTTGAAAAGTTACATCAATTTTATGAAAATAAGATAAAATATTGTTTATTTCAAACTAAAAATAACCAAAATAATTAATTTTCTTTATTTTGAGTTAAAAAAAATTAGTTAAAACATAAACTAATACCTCAGATTTAAATATACTTAAAGGATATTTATTTCTTTTTAATTATTTAAAAATTAAATTTTTCATCTATTTTTAAATTAATATTTTGTAAGCTTTTTCTTCTTTTTAATAATTATTACTTTCGTTTGTCTAAATTTGTGTGTTTATATCTTTCTCGCTTTTCTTTAACTATAATAATTAATTAATTCAAACAAAAAATTCAAAAAAAAAAAATGTAAAACAAAACTATAATAATTTGCTTAATAATTTCTTAACTTCTGGTTTCTGTATTTTCATCAGCAGGAGGTCAAGCTAATTGTACAGGTGTTGCTGCTGGTACCGATTGTGCTAGTGTCTGTGGAGTACCTACAGTTGCAGGAACTGGTACAACAGCTTGTAGTTGGGTTAGTTCTTCTACTTTGACCACTTGCACTGTTACTGATTGTACTTGCCTAACTACTGGTACTGTAACTGGTATCACTAATTTAAATGATTAATTTTGTACTTCTTGTAAAGGATCTACCTCAAATACCTATGCTAATGGTGCTGGAACTGCTTGTGTAGCTGCTTCTGCTTCATGCAACAGCACCATAAGAGGAACTACTGCATGGACTGTTGGTGATTGCACCGTTTGTACTCCTACTACCCCTGCATTGGTTGGTAGTACTTGTAAGGCTTGTAATACTATAAGTAGTGCATGGACTGATGCAAATTGTGCTGCATGCGCCAGTACTTCTACCCCTAAAGGTAACACAAATTTTGCTAACTCTGCTGGTACTGCTTGTGTTAATGCTTCCGCAACATGTGCTAGTGGTAGTAGAGGTACTACTGCTGCCAATGCTTGGACAGTTGCTGATTGTCTTGCTTGTACTCCTGCTACTCCTGTTTTCGTACCCGCTGCTTCCCCTGCAGTAACTACTTCTTGTGTTGCTTGCTCTGCTGCCACTTCAGGTTTGAATGATGCCTTATGTAATGCTTGTGCATCAAGTGCTTCCCCTGCAGCTAAAACTACTTTTGCTAATACTGCTGGTTCTGCTTGTGTTGCTTCTTCCGCAACATGCACTGCTGGTAGTAGAGGTACTACTGCTGCCAATGCTTGGACAGCTGCTGATTGTCTTGCTTGTACACCTGCTACTCCTGCCGTACAATTTGGTGCTTCTCCTGCTACTACTTCTAGTTGTGTTGCTTGTAATACTATTAATTCAGGATGGACAGATGCTAACTGTAATTCATGTGCTATGGCTGCTAGCCCTTAAACAAAAAATATCGTCGCTAAGGCTGATGGAAGTGCTTGTGTAGCAGCTGTGTTTTCATGCACTCAATCTGCTAGAGGTTCAAATAAATGGACTAATGCAGACTGTGCCGCCTGCAATGGTACTGCTGCTAATGCAAATCAATATGCCTCTGCTGATGGTTCTACATGTCAAGCTACATAGGCTTCTAGTACTTTCAGTGGTTAGATCTTTGTTAGCATTTTATTAGTTTTATCTGCTTTGTTAATTTGATTATTCAAGTTTCAAACAAAAATTTAGAATTTAAAATTGCACTTTTTGATTGTTGGTATCTATATTTTTATGTGTACTGATTTGATTAAAACATGTGTAAAATTATCATTTTAATCTAGATAAGAATTTTAATTTCAAAATAAACTATTTAACACAAAATTTATTAAATTTTAAAATAATAAATTTAGACTTTATTTTAATTATTATCAGAATATAACTGGTATCCTTAAAATTTGGAAATGAATTTATTTATTAAATGCAAGTATTAATTTAAATAAAAATTAATTCTAATACTAAACGAAAATAACACAAGATTTAAAAAAGCAAAAAGAAATAAAAATATTACAAAAATGGAATAAAATAAACAATTTTTATATGCCATTAAATTCAAATAATATTACATTTATAATCATCTAAATAGTTTTTAGATTATTCTGAATACCTTACCATGTCTGTCTTCCATTCTAAAAGTAAACTTTTCAAAATTTGTCTGAAATTAAAATTTTTTTTCATGAAACATCGATAACTCCAAAATTTTTGAATTTGGGGGTTGCGCGTTAATGAGGTTTTACAGTATTTGCTTTATTACTCTTTAATTATCAGTGATCAAACAATTTTAAAATAGCAAATTACTATGTAAATATAATAGATTTAAAATTTGTATTTTAAAAAAATTAAATGATTACTTATTTCACTTAAAAGAAAAATATACTCAATTACTAATAAAAAATATTGAAGAGGAAAGAAGGCAACTGAATGATAATCATGTTATTGTTTTCTTTCGCTAATTAATGAATTATAATAAAAAATTATTTTGGTAGTAAATTGATCAATTGGTTGAAGCTTTTCAAATAATTTTAAAATGTTTTTTTAGTAATAAAGAAGGTATTTGTGGTTTTTATATTTTAAGTAGCTCTTGTTAAATTTGCAAAGAAAAGCTATACATTTTTTAGTTGCCTTTCTAATAATAAGATGATTTAAACAACAAAACTTTAGAAGTAATTATTTCTCTTCGAATTAAAAGAGTGGAAAAATCTAAAATAAGTTGGAGATTGATCAATATATATATATAAATATAGCTTGTTTGATGAAAAACAAAATGTTGTCTTTTGATTTTGTTACAAGTTATCCTTAGAATTTATTAATGTTTATTTTTATATTGGAGACAGACTTTAATAATAATTTATCAGTATTTTTTTTACAATGGATATAGAGAGTGAAGACAAATTTAAATAAGAATTTATTAATATTTTTTTTATCAAAGAAAAACTTTAATAAGAATTTATCAACATCACTTCCAAATTTAAGAAACTTTAATCTATAATTTAAAGCATCTGAAACGAAAAAAATGTTTAAATAATTGCCATATTTTTATTTTATTTAGTTGCGCTTGTTTCTTATTCTGAGCCAATCAAATCAAACAAATAAATAAACCTACTTTTTATAGATATTTGCTTTTATTTTTATGTAATCTTTCATTATTTATTGAATTTATCAAGTTTTTCTAAATAAATAAATAAAGAATCACTTACAAGAAATATTAAGAAAAAATTAAAAAACCAAATTCATGACACACATACATAAATACATTCAAATGAGATAATAGATCATATATCTTATTCATAAGAAAACCCTTTTCTTTGTTTTAATATCAATACTTCTTTTAAAAATATAAGTAAGTAAGTATGTATGTATATATATATAAGTAAGTAATTAAGTGTAAATGAATACCATTTTCGATATTAGAAAAGTAATAAAATATATCATAAACAAAAAAGAAAATCTTTTTTAATTGTTCGTTCAAGTAATCATTTAAAAAATAAATAAATATATTTTTTAGATTTGTTTGGATAAAATCAGATGAATTATTTATTATTATTACATTAACAGAATAGAGTTAGTTATCTTCTAAATTAAAAATATTATGAATATTAAGAAAGATTTTGTTTGTTTGTTTGTTTTTAAAAATCTAAACAATTTAAATCATATTATAAAATGAATAGTATAAAATATAACTTATATGTATAAACTGCTCATAAAATTATTTTTTGCTTGTTAATATTTCTTAAATTATTACTATGCTCAACACATTTAGACCTATAATTATTTTCAGTCTTTTAAAACAAACTATACTTAATATATATTTTTCATTAGACTAGCTGATATTTAAGAAAATTTTAAATAATATACACCATACGCATTTAAAAGTATTCAGATTTGTACCCTATAGGGTTATTTTGAATAAGAGAGAGTCTATTTTGCAAAGAAATTGAAATATATTACTTAAATAATTGCAGCATATTATAAGAGTTGACGGTACATAATATAAAGCCTTTCCATTTTAAATTAAATCTCTAATTTATCATTAATTTTCTATTAAGAAAACATTCATATAAAAGCAAAAGCTTGTTTTAACTAAAAAAAAGTTTTTAGAAACTCTTAATAATTTTCTAATTAACCAGATGAATTTATTTATATTTTGTCTGTCTCTTTTTATTACTATTCAAACAAAAATAAATCATAAATATATAGTTATTTATTTATTTATTAATTAATTATTTATTCATTTATTTTCCACTTAGGAAGGATTATTTTTAATTAATTTTGTATTATGAACACATAATATAAATCATTGAATTTTTAATTAACACTCAATTCTTTACATAATATAATGAATTGATTGTATTTTTAATTAACACTTTAATCGATTATTATCTGTTTGTCTGTCTGTCAGTTAGTCAGTCTATCAGTCTCTCTGTCTGTCTGTCTCTACCTTTGTCAATTTTTGTATGGAAGCAATTGGATTAATAATTAAGTTTTGTGAGTTCACAATATAAATTGTTTATCCACATTCATACATACATACATAAATACCTTTTTGATTATCTAAATAATCATATAAAGTAAACTAATCAGATTTCTACTTATTACTTCGCAAAAAAATGAATAAAAGACTGTTAAAAATAAATAGAGAAATCAAGTAAACAAATTTCTTGTTAAACTTTATTTTAAATTTATAAGACATTCTTTCTTTTATTATGAAATATTAAATTAATAAAATTATTTATTTATTTATTTTTTTTAATTTTTTAAGGTTTTAAATCATTAAAATTGGCAAAATGAATTTTTAAAAATTTAAATTCCATGTTTTAATTATAATTTATTGCTTAAATTATTTATACAATTACACAATAACAACGCCTAATAATACTTGCCTATTAAATTTGTTTTTTTTATACAAAATATCATCATCATCAATCATATCATGAAGTTATTAAATATTTTAAAAGAAAATAAATTAAGTTTTGAGTTTCACTATAAAGTTTTAAATATGCATAATAATATGAATAAATGCCATTTATAATTGATTTTTATCTCTTAGTTTTAAAAACTTAGAATTAATCAATGATGCGCTAATTAGTTGCTTATGAATAATGAATGAATGAATGCATATAATATATATTTGCAAACAAAATAGAAATACTGATAAATACCTTTAATATAAGTAGCTTTTTAATATATTTTTTAATAGATAGCTATCTAGCTAGCTAGCTATCTACTCACTTATCATAAAATTTAGTTAAAAAAATATTTAATCTAATTAATATTTTGCATAAAATTTAATGAGCTAATTAATAGATCTTTAATCCTCTAAATATGCTACTATTTATTTATCAATATTTTTTTTGCCTATTAATCAAAAAGTTTATTATTTTTTTTTATTTTATTTTACTTTTTTTGAATCCATCCTGCTACATTTATTTATTTATTTATGCTTGAATTTTATTTAATGACATTATATTATATTTTCTCTTACCATAACTTAAATATTGAATAATTAATTAATTAATTGTATCATTTATTTTTCTAGTTTAATAAGCTAAAGTATACATACATTTTATATATTTAAAATTATAGGTTGAAAAATAAAATTTATGATAAGCTGTAATGTAAGTAATTCCTCTCAAAATAATTAATTAAAAATAGCAATTTAAAATAAATATTCTTTCTCTTGCTAAATAACAATTTAAAATTTCAACCTTTAATTTATTAACTACACATTTTTATTTTTATGAGAATCTATTTATCTATCTTTATTTCATTCTTTTAACAGAGTTTCTTCATTACAAAACTTTAACTAGAATATATTCAAATTTTATATTAACTTAAGGTTAAATAAATATTTTAATTATTAAGCATTTATATAACAATTATTTATAGCTAAACGCATAATTCAAATCTAGTGGTATGGCAACAAACCTCTAGCTAGCTAGATATTAATTAATTAGGCTAGGTTTTTAAATAAAAAATATTTTTATGATAGAATTTTTTAAATTTTAATTAATAAATTATTCGCGTTTTCAATAATGCGTAATATAAAATGATTAAAAAAAGGGGGGAGTTTTCGTCAAAATCGTCAAAATATTTTTTTTGACAAATAAAATTTTCATAAAAAATTAAATAAAAACATTTATTTATTTATTTATTTCTTTTTAATAAAATCATAGGTAGATTCTGACAAACCAAAATAAAAAAAGCAAGAAGGCTAACTTAACTACTTAGCATTCAAATTTAAATACCTGGATTAGCAATATCATAATTTTATATTTTCATCAATTTAAAGAGATTTGATTTCTTTGTATTTATATTTTTTATCTATTAATGAGAAATTATAATAGATAAATTATTAGTTTATTGAAGTATCTTAAAAAATAAAAATAATTAATTTTCTATTTTATTTATTAAAATTAAACATTTTGTTAGCTAAAAGATGATGAATGAATTCTTCTGATATAGCAAATTTTATTTCTGAGTGCTCTAGAAAAGTGTCAAAATGTGATTTCCTTCAGTCTTAATTTATGGTTCTTAATTACTTAACTATTAGTGAAATATATTCAACTACTTTTATAAATTAAATTAATTTAGCTAAAGTTAAATCAAGGCAGGCTAATTTTAAAGCATACATAGTAAGCGCGCTAGAAAATTTCTAAAATATTTCTTGCTAAAATCTTAATCTCTAGGAATTATCACAATAAAAATTTAAGTAATCTTTATTTATAATTATAGTTTTTTAAGTTATTCAGAGTTAATTTTTTTAATTAGAAATAACTCACTTTTTAAAACCTATTAATGTTTAGAACTTGGTGTAATTTTTCACTAACGTAGCTAGCTAGCTAATAGCATTTCAAGTGTCTGAAAAAAACTTTAACAATTCAGTAAACTAAATTTAAAGTAATTTTACAAATTCTTTGTATTTATTTTAGGCAAAAAATAAATAAATAAAAAAGCAAGCAAATCTTTTATATATTTATTATTTATTATATACTTTTTTTATGTTTTTATGGTATATTAATAGATTATTTTTAAAGCAAAAATAAGATAGGTAGGTAGATAGATAGATAGATAGAGAAGGATTAATGGCCATTTTAAGTTCTTTATAAAGTCTTTAAAATATTACTGAATTATATATAACTAAGCATATCAAATAAATTCCTTCCTTTGAAATAAACTCAAAGTGGAATATTAATTAATTCAAAAATTTTTATAAATTTCTTTGTTTTGTTATATTAAAAATAGCATGAAACCTACTTTTAAAAATATTAGTTATAATCGAATATTTAACAATTAAGTATAAAAAATTATTTTAGTGCTTTATAAGCCAAGAACTTAACGGATACTTTATCGATGCTTAAAAAAACACTAATTAAATTATTGATTTGAAGTAATAAATTAAATAAAAATAAATATTTTAAATGAATAGCTTTTAAATAATAAAATAATTTTTTTTTTTAAATAAATATCTTTAATATAATTTTATTAACCATATTTTATATTTTATGTATGCTTCAGCTAAAGAAATAACTAATGGCTTAGAAAAGTGTTCATAAATATCCACGTTGAATTAATTTAGGGTAACATGATACCATTAATTAATTTTTACTATATTCATTTATTTTTTTAAAGATTTTCTAACTCATAATTTATAACAATATAATTAATTAATTAATTATTAAAATATTAAAAAATTTATTTTTTTCTATAAAAATTATCCGTTAATAAGGAGCAAACGTGATCAAAAATGAATGTATTATAAAAACGCAAAAATATCTCAAAATCCAAAATAAATTTAAGGTATTCTTTTATACTTTATCTAATAGAAAACTTTCCATTTATTTTAAATACGAAATATTTTTTTATTAAAATTTTGTTTTTAGTTTATAATTTGCTCTAATAATTCAATTATTTATTTATTTATTTTTTTATTTATTTATTTATTTATTTATTTATAAAGCTATAATTTTTATCAGAAGAAGTGGTTCAAACCATTCAGAGCATATTAGAAAAGAATAAATAAATAAATAATACATTAATTTAGATCTAAAACAAAATAAAAATTTAATCAGGTAAAATTATTCAATCCATCATAGTAATTTTGTTTTTATTTCTGATTTTAAATTATTTTAGCTTTGTTATGAAAATATATTTATAATTGATTTTAAAATAAATAGCTATCCCTTACATAAAGAGAATGGCACTGATTAATAAATATATATAGGAAAATTGAATATTGATTAAAATAACTATTTAATTTTAATAAGATTTCTATAATTTTAAATATAAATAAGATTTATGCTTAGATGTTAAAATTGTGTAAAATTTTTGCATGTAAAAAATAGCAATCCATGATCTTTTTTAAGTAAGTAAGTAAGTATTTTTTATGCAAGCAAATTAAGTAAATATTTCAGCTTCAAGTTGAAAAAAATAAATAAAACATTATAACTAAAGCTATAGCTATTTATTGAAATTTATTTATAAAAAATATTCACTTAAAAAATTTACTTTTTCTTGAAATTAATTGGTTTTTTTATAATCGATATTTTTATCATTAAATAACAAAAGAAACATACAAATAAACTAATAGTAAAAAAATAAATTAAATCTTTAATTACTTACTTACTTACTATTCTTAGAAATATTTTAAGTTAGATAAATGTAAAAATTGAATGGTAATAAAATAAGATGAAACATACATAACTTTATTTATAAAAAATTAAAAATTGAATACAAAATAATAAAAAAATATAATGTAATTTAATTTATTTTATTTTATTACACTCTACTATTCTTATAACTACCTACAATTACTATTCTATTATTTTTAAGTATTTTTTATAAAGCAAGTTAGTAAATATTTCAGATTCAAGTTGAAAAAATAAATAAAACATTATAACTAAACAATAGCTATTTATTGAAATTTATTTATAAAAAAAATTCACATTATAAATTTACTTTTTGTTGAAATTAATTCATTTTTTATAATATATTGATATTTTTATCATCAAATAACAAAAGAAAGAAACAAAAAAACAAACTAATAGTAAAAAAATAAATGAAATCTTTAATTAATTACTTAGTTACTATTCTTTTAAGATAAATCTAATATAAAAATTGGATGTAATAAAATAAGATGAAATATATATAACTTTATTTTTAATAAATTTAAAATTTAAAAAAAAATATAATGTATTTTATTTTATTTTATTACACTCTATTATTCTACTACCTACCATTACTATTCTATTATTTTTAGTGTTTTAAATAATTTTATATAAATTAAATTATTATTTAACCTTTAATTATGGTTATATAATATTAATTTTTCTTATAAAAAAGTTTCGCATTTATTTAAATTAATAACACCTCTATAAAAAAATAATTATTTTAGCTTTTTTTAAGTGCATTAAATTTGAATAATTTATCTTCCATGACATAATGATTGTTTGTTGGTGATTTAAAATTACACAAAATAAATATCTAAAAATAGTTAAATAAACAAATGATGAAAATTAAAATCCTGCAAAATATTCTGATAGCTCTCTCTCTATTTCTTATTTTGATATTTAAAATTAATGGAATAATTATCATTAAAAATAAGATAAGAATATCAGTCAGTGACTGACTAATTTTTGTTAAAATCAAAATAGAAGTATAAAGGGGATAATTAATTAATTAATTATCTTGTTTTTATTAAATTAAGTTACTTGAGAATTTAATAATGATTGTATTTATTTGTGAATAAGCTAATTAGAAATTAATAGAACAATATCAAAATCAAATTTTCCAACTTAAGTACTATAGATTTTTAAAGTCTTAAAAATTTTATTATCTTTGCTAACTAACTAATTGGCCAATAATTTACAAAATCATTTTAATTTATATACTAAAAAAACTACTTTTTTACGCATATTTATTTATTTATTACAGCTTAATATTTTAAACTTTTTTTCTTGATTTTCAAAGACCAAGAATAGTATTGTTAAAAGCAGAAAAAATATATATCGAAGTATTAGATAGATCTTAATATTTTTTAAGAAAATTTTTATTTACTTAAAAAGAGTAATTTATAACTTTGCTTATAAAATCTAATATTTGATTTAGCACACAGAAAATCTGTGGTAAAAGGAGTGATTAATAGCTTTAATATTAATAAAATATATAATTGATATTTAAATACAGCAGATAGATAATCTTTATGCGAAAAATCTTACCTTTATTCAAATTAATACTGACCTTTATCATCCATTTATTTTTTTTTAATGTTTGAAAAATTACTTTAAATAAAAATAAATAATAATTTAAAAATATTTAAAAATTCATTTGACTGAAAATATATTAAAAATGTTTATCTATTTATTAATCTTTATACATTCATTTAATAAATATTTTTTTCATTTAACTATGTTAAAAAAATTTGTGAATTTTGAAAATATTTGTAAACCCCATAAATGTATTTTTTAATTACTAGATAAGATTAACTCAGGATTTAGAAATCAATAAATTATTTGATGATCTTTTAATTAAGAGCGAATTTGCTTATCAGATAAATTATTAGATCATTTAAATTATTTTTGAATGTTCTATTCCCTACTTCATTCTGGCTGCTGGATAGAAAAATAACTAACTAAAAAATATTTTAAGCAACTTCGCTTTCTAAAAATGTATTGTATTTTATTAAGATAGATAAATAAATAAACCAATTTATTAAATTATTTGCAGTCTTTTTTGTATTTTATTTTTATAAATTTATGCGATTTATTTTGATTCCTCTTTCCCTTCAAAAGTATTTAAAGGTTAAAATATTTTTTCATATAGAAATATAACAAACTCACATTTAGTTAAGTATAGTATCTAATTATCACTGATTTTCAAGTCTGTTTATGATATTTGTTTTTTTTTAAATTTTTTTGACAGGATTATTCAGATTTTGTCAGTAACAAAATTATTATAAATATTTTACTTTTGAAACATAGATATACTAAAAAGTGAACCAATCTTAATTAAGACAAATAATTAAAAAAGTTACAGTGTAGCTAAGCTTGAAATCAACTAAAGCTAAGAAAAATCTGATTTTTTGTAATATTTTGTTGTTTAATACATTTTATTTATAAATAATAAAATAATTATATAACTCTAAAAACTCTAGCTGACTCAAGCCATATATATTTTAATTTAAAAGGCTTGGGTTTAAGAAAATATCAAACTTATTACTTCTAAAAAATAATTCAAAATTTTTTATATTCTCTAAAAATGGGACTTAATTAATTAGAGTATATAGTAAATTAATAATTTTATTTAATATTTAAATAAATGTGAAACTTTTTTTTAATAAAAATTATTATTATACTAGCATAATTAAAGCTCCTATAAAAAAAAAAATTATTTTTTTTAATCCATTAAGTTTGAATAATTTATCTTCCATAACATAATTATTGTTTGTTGGTGAATTAAAATTACACAGAGTAAATATCTAAAATTACTTAATCATAGAAAATGATGAAAATTAAAATCAGTTAAATATTCTGATAGCTCTCTCTCTATTTCTTATTTATTTTGATATTTAAAATTAATGGAATAATTATCAGTCAAAATGAGATAAGAATATCAGTCAGTGACTGACTAATTTTTGTTACAATCAAAATAGAAGTATAAAGGCGATAATTAATTAATTATCTTGTTTTTATTTAATTAAGTTACTTGAGAATTTAATAAACATGATTGTAAGTATTTGTACATAGAAAATATGTGGAAAAAAAGAGCGGTTAATATATTTATATAAATAAAATAAATAATTGATATTTAAATACAGCAAATATTCTTTATGTGTAAAATATTATTTTATTAAAATTAATATTGACCTTTATCATCTATTTATTATTTTTTCATGTTTGAAAAATTATTTTAAATAAAAATAAATAATAATTTAAAAATATTCAAAAAAAAATATTTAAAAATTCATTTGACTGAAAATATATTAAAAATGTTTATCAATTTATTAATCTTGACACATTCATTTAATAAATATTTTTTACCTCGAACTAGTTAATTTTTAATATTATTTGAAAGCCCACGAAATGAATTTTTAAATTAATAGGTAAGATTAACTCAGAATTTAGAAATCGATACATTATTTGATGATCTTTTTATATATGAACTAATTTGTTTATCATATAAAGAATGAGATAATTTAAATGTTTTTTGAAAGTTCTATTCCCTACTTCATTTTAGATAGAAAAATAGCTAAAAAATATTTTAAATAAATTTGCTTTCTTAAAATGTATTGTATTTTTTTATGTTAAATAAAATAATTTATTAAATTATTTGCAATCTTTTTTGTATTTTATTTTTGTAAATTAATACGATTTATTTTGATTCCTCTTTCTCTTCAAAAAAATTAAAGGTTAAAATATTTTTTCATAAAGAAATATAACAAACTCACATTTAGTTAAGTATAGTATCTAATTATCATTGATTTTCAAGTCTGTTTATGTTATTATTTTTTTTTTTAAATTATATTTACAGGATTATACAGATAGTCAAAAAGAGTGTAAAATTATACATTTTTTTCTTTTCAAATTTACGTATAGCTAAAAAGTGAGCCAATCTTAATTAAGAAAGAATAATAATAAAATGTTAAAAAAGTTATAAATATTTTTTTGTTAAATATAACAAACTGACATCTAGTTATATATAATATCTTTTTATCATTGATTTTCAAGTCTATTTATGATATTTGTTTTTTTAAAAATTATATTTACAGGATTATTCAGATAGTCAAAAATTATACAAAATTCCTAATATTTTACTTCTCAAACTTACATATATTAGTATATGGCGAATGTAGGAAACCAAAAATGAGAGAAAAAAAACTATTATGATATTCTTCATCTATATTTTTTTATTTAGATGAGTGTATGTATGTTGATGATATTGATCTGGATAATCGAGATAAAATATATTTTTTTTTTAAATAGTGAAAATAGTACAATTTTCCTGATAAATTACCCTGTGACAAAATATCCTGGAAGTTATGTTCTCTTTCGTTTGTCTAAATTTTCTTGTTTATATCTTTCTCGCTTTTTTTTAACTTTAATAATTAATTAATTCAAACAAAAAATTCAAAAAAAATAAAAATGTAAAACAAAACTCTAATAATTTGCTTAATAATTTCTTAACTTCTTGTTTCTGTAATTTCATAATTTCCAGGAATTGAAACTACTTGTACTGGTTCTCCTGGTTAAAAATGTTCTTAAGCCTGTGCTGTACCTACAGTTACAGGAGGTCCAGGAGCTTGTTCTTGGTTAGGAACAGGAAATGATTTGACTACTTGTTTTGTTAATGATTGTTCTTGCCTAAATATAGGAACAATAACTGGTTTAACTGATGCATTTTGTTATTCTTGTAGAGGAAGTAGCTTTGCTAATACTGCTGGTAGTGCTTGTGTAGCTAGTTCTGCTTCATGCACAGCAAGACCAAGTAATGTTGCATGGACTTTAGGTGATTGCACCATTTGTTCTCCTAATACCCCTGCATTGGTTTCAGGTGCTTGTAAAGCTTGTAGTGATATAACTAGTGGCCTGACTGATGCAAATTGTGCTGCATGCGCCAGTACTTCTACCCCTAAAGGTAACACAAATTTTGCTAACTCTGCTGGTACTGCTTGTGTTAATGCTTCCGCAACATGTGATAGTGGTAGTAGAGGTTCTACTGCGCTCAATGCTTGGACAGCTGCTGATTGTCTTGCTTGTACTCCTGCTACTCCCATTTTGGTACCCGCTGCTTAAGGTTCAACAACTACTTCTTGTGCTGCTTGCTCTACTGTCAATACAGGTTTAACTGATACCTTATGTAATGCTTGTGCATCAAGTGCTTCCCCTCCAGCTAAAACTACTTTTGCTAATACCGCTGGTTCTGCTTGTGTTGCTTCTTCCGCAACATGCACTACTGCTAGTAGAGGTACTACTACTGCAAATGCTTGGACAGCTGCTGATTGTCTTGCTTGTACACCTGCTACTCCTGCCGTACAATTTGGTGCTTCTCCATTAACTACTTCTAGTTGTGTTGCTTGTAATAGTATTACTTCAGGATGGACAGATGCTAACTGTAATTCATGTGCTATGGCTGCTAGCCCTTAAACAAAAACTATCTTCGCTAAGACTGATGGAAGTGCTTGTGTAGCAGCTGCGTATTCATGCAATAAATCTGCCAGAGGTTCAAATAAATGGACTGATGCAGACTGTGCCGCCTGCAATGGTACTGCTACTAATGCAAATCAATATGCCTCTGTTGATGGTTCTTCATGTCAATCTACACAGATTTCTGCATCAAATACTTCATGTACTTTCAGTGGTTAGATCTTTGTTAGCATTTTATTAGTTTTATCTGCTTTGTTAATTTGATTATTCAAGATTCAAACAAAAATTTAGAATTTAAAATTGCATTTTTTGATTGTTGGTATGTATATTTTTATGTGTGTGTACTGATTTGATTAAAACATGTGTAAAATTACCATTTTAATCTTAATAATAATTTTAATTTCAAAATAAACTATTTAACATAAAACTTATTAAATTTTTAAATAATAAATTTAGTCTTTATTTTAATTATTATCAGAATATAACTGGTATCCTTAAAAATGAATTTATTTGTTAAATGTAAGTATTAATTTAAATAAAAATTAATTCTAATACAAACGAAAATAACACAAGATTTAAAAAAGCAAAATGAAATAAAAATATTACACAAAATGCAATTTTATATGCCATTAAATTCAAATAATATTGTATGTATATATAATCATCTAAATAATTTTTAGATTATTCTGAATACCTTATGATTTCTGTCTTCCATTATAAAAGTAAGTAAACTTTTCAGAATTTATTTGCTTAGATTTTAATAAATAGTAAGATTTTCTATTTTTTTAAATACCTCATTTAGAAATTTCCTTTATGTATTTTTTATTCATTTTTGTAATTATAACTAGCATTTTGCTTTATCGTATTCAATCTCCATAAGCTAATTTATAAAACTATTCCAAATTGTGATGTTACTGATTGTACTCAAAATCCAGGTGCTAATCTCATTAGTTGGATATGTAAATCTATCTTGAAATGGAGCCACTAACGTTTATACAGCTTAAGCTTCTGGTAGGTAATTTTTTCAATGGATCTGCTTGTGTTGCCAGTTGCACTGCAGGCTCTAATGCCGATGTAAATAATATTTGCTAATTAAATCTCGTTCTAAGTGCTGATGTTGCTTGTGGTGCTGCAGATACAGCTGGTGGTAAGGCTACTGACTGCAAAGGATGCAGTGCTAATGCTACAATCTAATGTCTATTCACAATATCAGCAACTCCAAATTGTGATGTTACTGATTGAACTTAAAATCTAGGTGCTAATCTCAATGTTGGATGTGTAAATCTTGCAATTGTGTCACTAACTCTCATACAGTTTAAGCAGCTGGTGGTTCTAGTACTGAATCATACTTGTTAACTTTGACTTTTAATATGCTTTTGTTATGTTTGTTTGTTTACTCATCTGAGAAACATACTAATATAATTTATATTACATTTTTAACTGTAATTTCTTAAATAAATTTATATGTTCCATAGAGCGTTGTAGTTAATTTATTTAAGAAATTTTAAATCTATCTGTTTTTTGTTAACTTTGTTAAAAGATTAGTTAAACAATTTCTTAATATGAGCAAATTGAAATTTAAAGTTTAGAAGTTTAAAAATTTATGAAGTATTAAAATTATTTTTTTTAATATAAATAGCAAATAAATAAAAAAGTATTGATAAGTTATGTTTTAGTTTTAAAAGTATAAAATATATTATTTAAGACTTATAATTCCATAATAATATTTTTATTTATTTATTTATTTATTTATTAAATTAATTTTTAAAAATTAAATTTAGTAATGTCGTCTGTTTAAGGCTAAAATTACTGTTCGTTTTGATTGTGCTATTTTTGAAAGAGTCACTTTTAACAATTGTTTTTGTTACTGATAAATAGAGTTTCAAAGTTTTAATAAATAAAGATATGAACCAAAATGTAATTATTATTATATGAAGCTTAACATTTCTTCCTTATTTTTATATTGCTATAAATCCTCATTAATTAATTAATTAATTATGGCTCAAATAAATTAACACCAATAATTGATGTTTATGTCTTATTCAAGAACTATCTTATAATAGAAGACCTCTTGACTAAGAGACCGTACGGTAATATTTATTATTCTAATTAATATTTATTTCCTACAAGAGAAATAATTAATTATCAGAGAATTGAAATATATCTAAATATTTTTAGTGTTTTAAATATTTAATTTCTATTGTCATTTTTATTTAACTTTTTTCACTATATAATATTAATTTTTATTTATTACATAAAAGTTTCGCATTTATCTAAATTAAAATAAAAAAATAATTATTTTTTCATTACCATTTTTTTAAGTGCATTAAATTTGAATAATTTATCTTCCATAGAATAAAAATTATTGTTGACGACTTAAAATTTCAGAGAGTAATTATTTAAAAATATAAAAATTTAAAATTAATCGAATAATTATCATTAAATATGAGGTATAAATATCATGACTAATTTTTTTAAAAATAAAATAGAATTGTAAAGGAATAATTAATTATCTTGTTTATTTAATTAAGTTACTTGAGAATTTATTAATGATGATTGTATGTATGTATGTATGTATTTATTTATTTGTGAATAAGCTAATTAGAAATTAATAAAAGAATATCAAAATCGAATTTTCCTTCTTAAGCACTATCAATTTTTAAAAGTCTAAAAAATTTTAATATTTTTGCTAACTAACTAATTGGCCAATAATTTATAAAATCATTTTAATTTATATACTGTTTCATGAAGCCTTTCTATATTTAATCTAAAAAAACTGCTTTTTTGCTAAAAACGTAAATATTTTTATTACTTACAGCTCTATATTTTAAACTTTTTTTCTTAATTTTCAAAAGCCTAAAAATTGTTTTGTTAATTAAAAGCAGAAAAAATATATATTGAAGTATTAGATAGATAGATCTAGTTATTTTTTTAGAAAAGTTCTATTTTATTGCAAAACTCTTCTTAAAAAGCTTAATTTATATTTTTTCTTATAAAATCTAATATTTGATTTAGTCACAGAAAATCTGTTGAAAAAAAGATTGGTTAATAGCTTTAATATAAATAAAATATATAATTGATATTTAAACACAATAGATTGATAATCTTGATGCTAAAAATCAAAAAACCAATTTTTTAGATTTATCAAAATTAATACTGATCTTTATCATCTATCTATCTATCTATCTATCTATCTATCTATCTATCTATCTATCTATCAATTTATTATTTTTTAATATTTGAAAAATAATTTTAAATAAAAATAATTAATAATTTAGAAATTTTCAAAAAAAAATTTAATAATTCATATATTTGATTAAATATGAAAAATGTTTATCTATGTATTAATCATTCATTATAAATTCATTTTATAATTATTTTTTTGCTTCTAAATACTTTAAAAAAAGTGTAAATTTAAGAATGTGTATTTTTAATTAATAGAAAAGATTACCCAGGATTTAGAAATTGATAAATTATTTGATGATCTTCTTTCTAATTATGAGCTAATTTGCTTATCAGATAAAGTATTAGATAATTTTAATTATTTTCGAAAGATCTATTCCTTTCTTATTATAAAAATGTATTAACTTATGTTGCAATTTCTATTAAAATTAATTTTAAATCTTGATATTTAAACCTATCTTTTATATTTTAATTCTGGCTGGATAGAAAAATAAGTAACTAACTAAAAAATATTTTAAGTAAATTCTCTTTCTTAAAATATATTTTATTTTATTAATTTAAATAATTTATTAAATAATATACAGTCTGTCTTTTTTGTATTTTATTTTTATCAATTTATGCCATTTATTTGATTCCTAATTGCTTCAAAAATATTTAAAAGTTTTTAATTATTTATTCATAAAGAAAAATATATAATAAAGTCACACTTAGTTAAGGAAAATATATATTTATCATTGATTTTCAAGTCTGTTTATGATATTTAAAAGATTATTCAGATTGTTAAAAAGAGTATAAAATTATAAAATTTTTTCTTTTCAAGCTTATACATAACTAAAAAGTGAACCAAAGAGAATTTACAATCAGAGCATTTTTAGATCAGTAGGTAGAAAAAACCTTTCTACATTACTATTTTTTCACCTTCCAAGTATTTTATTTGGA